AAGGTCAGCGTTTGGTTTGTTTTTAAGGTTGAAATGGTTGGATCCTTCCAGGAATTATTTGTCTGTGTACGTGAATGGGGCGGGGGGGGGGCGAGGGTAGAAAGAGGAAACAAGTCTTAAATAGTTGATTCAGGGCATTTGTATTAAAAAGACTGAAAAGGCACACCTGGAGATGTGGGTGGGAGAAACAGATACCACAGGATAGAGATAATTTGCATGGTCGCCTTCACAATCCTGGGGTAAGCAAATCTGCACACAGTGGCGCAGCTCCGTGAGCCTGAATGAGGCTCCAGGAATAACAAAAGATGTTTACCAACATCAGACCAACAAAGACATCCTGTTCTGTACACTGGCAACATTTTTTAAAATCTATTCCAACGTACAGGCTCTGATCGGAGACAGCAGGTTTTTAGGCTACTGGGGCCTGGGGTGAAGTCACTGGGGAGCAAAGCCAAAATGTTTTGCACTTTGGGGGCCAGGCTCCTTCAGGGGTGAAATTCCCTTAAGCATTAAGTATTGCAAAAGAACACTTTTATTCCTTATTTTAGCAAAAGTCAGGCTACCAAAAATTAGCTTTGGCAGATTGGTCATTTCTTAACGGTCCTTGTGTAACAAAGAGGGAGTCAGGACCACTCACTGTGGCCCTCCCCCCATCTATTTACCTATCCAGAAGTACCATTCACAGAACATGAATCTACATGTTCCATATTCCTGGGTTTTGCACAACCACCCAGTTCCAGGAAAATTCAAAGCCTCTGATCAGGCAGAGAACCTACGTGCATGGAATTTATACTTTTTATTCAGCTATTCAAAGCCTTCTATACCTCCTACGTATGTTTCCTAAAAGACCTTAAAGAGGCTTCACAGTAATTATGTAGATTCAGCCCCAAAGGCTAGATCCACACTTGGAAGTTAACAAGGCACGGTTCACCAACAGCCAAAATCCACCACGTGTTTTGTGCAGTTTTGTTTCAGCAGGTTGTGGGAGCTGAGTGATTGTACCTTGCAAGATTTGATTTATAGCTTAGCGTGCTGAGTAAATGAAACTTACCACTGGTGATTTATTCAGCCAATCAGGGTTATAATTAAGACTATTTATTGCAATCTGTACGCTCAGCCATGGGCTAGACTGCATTCTGATACACAAAAGTGTTAGCAAAGTGGGCTATATACCAATGGGTTCTATTCTGGGTGCTAAAACATTCGATAGGCTGACCATTTGTAAATTCCTCCACGGGTAGATTGCTCTCCTGGAAACAGAAACTATCTTACCCCAGAATTTTCCCTCTACAGCAGTTCAGCTGACTGTCACCTTTCCCAGTCTTGACATCTGAGAACTTTTCAGCTGGAGAGCCCAGAAATAAATTTACAATCCTTTGGCACGCCAAAGTTATAATCCCCTGCAGCAGTTTTTTTTAAACGTTATACTCAGTTTTGGATGAAAAGTCCCATAACGTTATGCTTGCAATATTGACATCCTAAATGCTACTGATAGAATTTCTACTTTTTTCCTCTTCTTTTCAATACTTTAAGCTTTCTAAATAATAGAATGTTCATCACGTTTAATCGTATTACGTAAATATTATTACACTGAAATCTGCATTGAAATAATACAACGCCTCGAGATTTATAACGCTGCAATTAAAAAAAGGAAAAAAAAGTTATAGTGTGTTGTAGCCTTGATGGGAAGGCAACCGAAGAAAAAAGTCCCCTGACATTTTGGCATGTATCCAATTTGCTGGAAAGGAACTGGATTGCTCTGCTAAAGGAATTTGGTTGGGATTCAGTCCACATACCTGGAAGACGATGAGGGTATCCCAAAATGGGGACTGAAATCAAGAGGGAACCAGCCCCAGCACCCAGGAATCCAATCCACCAAGCTCCAACCCACAGGGAATTATCTGGCGTAAGATCCGTTCTGTGAATAAAACAGAGGAGAAAAGCCATAAACTTTCAGAAGTCCAATCAAGCAGGCCTCTCTGGCTTTGATAATATACAGACAAAGCTGATTTCACACAAGCGTGAAAAATAGCTGGGTTTTTTTTTTTTTTCTTCAAAGATATCTTAGTTCCCCAATTGCTTGGGAGAAATGTTCAAGCAGGACATCCTTTGACAATGGTTACCAACTGGGCACCAGGAAAAAAAAAAAATCAGAGTTGTACTTTGCTTTAGGCAGAGCTAAAGGACAATAACAATACATAAATACAGTAAATAAAGGACAGTAACCACCACAGAGCACAGAAAACAAAGGAAAGCGAGTCTCAGAGTAGCTTTGCCCAGGCTGACCCTTTGAGGGTTGTTAGGACTGCATTTAACAACCTGAGACAGAAATAACAACAGTATTCATTATAATTGCAGTTCCACGTAGAAGCGAAAAAGGAAACTCGCTCTATAAAAACCTATTTTGCAGATGGACATCTAGGACTAGACGGAGCATTTTAAAGATCCCCTTGCTAGATCTTAAGCAACTCATCCAGCAGGAGGAACAGAGGAGGCCTTTAAATGGCCTTGGATGAGCAGCTGAGGTCCTGCAATGCTTCCAGGAGCTGCTCTGTAGGAAAATCAGAGCGACCAAGTGCAAAAGGAAGAGGAAAATAAAGCGGAAAATGGCACGCAAGAAAAATTCCTAAGGCTGGCTGGGGAACTTTAAACTCAGGGAATAATGAACTAATAAATGTCATTCTGGATAACCCCACGTGAAACGATCTGGCCAACGGAGTCCTCTCACCTGTAAGAATTGAATGGATGGGTTTAGATCTCTTGCAACACTCTGCTGCTTCACATCACCATAGGATACCTTTCTTATTTTCTGAATTAAACCTTGCCCAGCATTACCATAGTTACCATTACAGTTCAAACAGTGCTCCTTTTCTTTTTAACCCAAACTACCTGCCTGGTGACCTGCAAACGTAATAACAGGGCTATGGATTTCTCATGGCAACAATAATAGGTCAGAAGCCAGTCAGATGTGGACACGTTCTTGAAAAATAAAAGAATGAAGCCGGAAGTATTGCAGGGTTCCCCCATTAATTTTTAACTAAAGAACTGAGTGTGGAATTTTAGTAACTCAAAGGTTACTAAAGAGGGACAGAAGGTTCCCTGGACATTTTCTGTGCTGCTGGGAAGGGAAGAGAAAATGAGTGAATTGCTGCCAGCTGCCAACTGCAATTCCTAGATCAGTGTTTCTGTGCTGCTGGGAAGGGAAGAGAAATGGGGCCATGAACTTACCGTCTCCCAATTTCAGTGTAAATATTTAGAAAGATGCCTCCAACCAAATAGCCAGCTGCAGGGCCCAATATGGCAGCAGTGTAGAAAACAGCTGAAAAGAGAAAGACACAACCATATTGCCCAAAGTTCAATGATGAAAATTTTGGTGTTAAAGTCTTGCTCAAATTTGGGCAAAGAAGGCCACTGCAGCAATCCTATAATCTTCTCCATGTTTCATTCCATCATAAGATGGAAGGGATCCCATTGGTCATCTAGTCCAACCCCTGCTCAATGTAAGGGTTGAACTAGATGACCCAGAGGGACAATTCCCAACATGTGGCCATCAACTGGAAAACCTCCAGCAAGGGTATTCTTCCCTTGTTCTATGAGGACTCTTTCACTGATTAACCAACAGGAAATTCATCTTAGTCTGAATCGCTTTTTTATTTCAACCTGTTGGTCTTGACCCTGCCCTTGGTTTCAGCAAACTGACCTGCTCCCATTTACATGTGACAGCCTTCTGGACTGTTGTAGACAGTTATGCCTCCCTCGTCTCTTTCACAAGCTAAAGGTGCTGAGCTGTTTAGATATACCACTGGAAGACAGTCTGGGTTCTTCTGTCTTCTCCCTCTCCCTTTTAAGTGTGGTGATAAAGGTAACCATAATACTCCAAGCGTGGTCCAACTATTACAATTACAGTGAAGCTACTACCTTGCATGAACTGGATGCAATGCTTCTTTTAAACACAGCCCAAGACTGCAGTGGCCTTTTTAGCTGCTGCAACACAGTGCTTGCTCATATTCAGCTGGTGGACCACTAGGACGCCTAGATCTTCCTCATGGGCACTACTCCAAGCCAGGTCTTTCCGATCACGTGTCTATGCACTTAATTCTTAATATCCAGATGTAGGACCTTACAACTTGTCACCAGCAACATAATCCTCTTGGATTTGGCCCCATGTTCAAAGCAGTTGATGTAATTTTGAGTTGTGATTTTTAGCCCATCTCTTGGTTTGGTGTCATCTGCAAATTTAATCAACAACCCCTTGTTTTGGAGGGAGGGATGGGTAAAAGCTGAACATCCCAGCTCTCCTCTTTCTGGTGAAGGCATCTTATCACTAGTTACATAAACCCTGGCCTGCAATTCATTAAGAAATGAAGCAAATGTTACAAGTGTGTCCTCCAAAAGAAAAAGAAGAAAGTTGCTCACTTCCAACTAAGGACACCTTAAAGGGCTGTTCTCTGTAGAATTAGCCCATGTGGATATCCCAACAGGGGCTGCTATTGAAAGTGATTTATTGCAAGGTTACTTAGACATCTTAGATTGAGTTTTGAAAGACAAATTGAAGGTAGGAGTCCCGCTAATCCAAAGGAAAGGAAGTAGAAGGATGAAAAGTTGAGCCTTTAACATTCTGCTTCTAAGTACCTTGATTTGGGGCAACTGCCTTCTTTTAGTTAACTGAAGGCATGCAACAGGTTGGTAAGCTTCAGATACACACGTCTTTACTGACCAGCAACTCTACCTATTTCATCTCTTCTGCACTACTCCCACTAGCCAGGTATGTAGAATTTATCTGGTGAAAGCTCATTATTTTGATTAGGCCACCAGTGACATCTGCAGCAAACTGTGATGACACCAAAAAGATAACAGGTGTGGAGAGTAGAAAATGAGGCAGTGATGCCCTCAAACTCATTAGCTAACCTATGGACATCCACAGGAGAACAAGTGAGGGAGTGATGTTGCCCACATCATCATGTATATGCTACCATTACGCCCTTGTGTCCAGATATCTGACATGGGTAAGTAAGTTGCAACATTTGTTTGATGACATCATCATGCCCATTTCATCATTTTGTAGACCACAGGACTTACCAATATACACAGGAGAATAGTTGGACTTCACATTTTCATCCAGATAGGTCACCCCAAGAGTATAAAGTGGCGTTGCTCCAATCCCATGTAGAAACTGACCCAGCATGAAGACAAACCGATAATTAGAGAGAGTGGAGACACTTTCTGAGCACCATGAACTTTGGTTGGAGGAACATGTGCCAACCTCCTCTGAAAAATGGACTTCGTACTGGCTGGTGGTGAAGTGGGGCAAGGCAAAAATGATGGATCCAATCCCCATGATCAAAACACCCCACCCAAGCCACCGTGGTTTATGCCCGTTGCCCCCAAAGTAACTGACAAACGTCAAACACACGCAGGCGGCAATGTCATAGGAACTGGCGATCAGCCCACTTTCATAGCTCTGAAGATCGAATCGCCGCTCAATCGATGTAATCACAGTGTTAATAAAGCCGTTCACTGTCATTCCTTGCAAAAAGGATGCCACGCACAGGAAGAACAAAACCCCTTTGGGCGTATTGAAAAACTGCAAGCAACTTGGGGTGAAACCTCCCCACCCACACACAAGAACTTCCCCTTCTGTGGAGACGTATTTAATGCTGCCATTGAACCCGTTTTCGTTTTCGGATCTTGCCTCACAGAGAGGCTTCATGCAGGAATCTGAAGGGCTGTTTGTGTTAGAGTAGAACGTCCCATTGCTCAACGGAGTGGTGCAGGATTCCTGGGGACTGGGAGTATCAAAAGGAGAGCTGCTCTCCCCTGGGTTGGATGTGCTAGAAAAAATAAGTTTATGGGTGCAGTGGAAGCCATTTTCTCCCACCAACTTGTGAGACATTTCCATCAAAGAGGGCCAATTGCTGTTCTCAGCTTGCTTGCTTGCGCTCTCTCTCTCTCTCTCTCTTAAAGTCCTTCCACAGGCTGGCTCGGATCCTTGTTCTTGAAGGCTGAAGTCTTGGTTTTCAGAAGAAGAGACTTTGTGGGAAGTAGATGAATTAATAGGTGAGCAAAGGAGAGATCCTGAAACACTTCATTCTGGAAAAAAAGTAAGAGAAATCAGCAGATTATCTTATGTATTTTATTTGCTTTCTAAAAACAGCAGTTATAAGGAGATGTCACCACAGAGGAGTGTGTTGGGGATTCCACTGCTCCCTCTGAATCTGAGCTAAGTTGGGGTTGATCAATATCCTGATGGGAGTGTTTGTGAGAAACACTTATATAGGCCACCTTGTATATTATGATGGAAGGTGGAAAGGATATACAGTAAAGATATACATCAGATTTGGTAGAACCCAAGTCATTGCATAAACTTCAGGGTAAACACTGCTTTCAAATACCTTTCTTACTAATCAGAGCTGACCATGCTTCAGGTTCATATGATCTACTTAGCCTTCAGAACATGGATGTTCTCACAGAGTGACTGCTTTGGAGTCCAAGCAAAATCTTTTCATCAGTGCATACATCTAATACAAATGTGATAGATTATGAGAGTTCTGCAGGCTTAGAAAACAATTTGTAAGAAATGCTTCTCATCTTGCATGACTGCAAGCCCAACGCCTGTCCACTAATTCATTAAAACAACCTAACTCAGTCAAGTTCCGATGGTTATATAGCCTAAGCAAGATGGTCTATTTACATGAGGACTGATATCACAGATAGGCTGAAGGAACTCCAAAGTTTGCAGGATAAAACATTTTTGTCCACCGAAATACAACTAGAAAATTCCAAAATATCCCACCAAGAAATAAGCATGCTGTGTTGTTAAGATAATAGAAAACAGGGGTGAGCATAAAATGATGCCGCTACTAATATTCCTCTCTGTAACATCATATTATAAGGCCTAGATTATGTTTCTAATCTTTCTCTCCTTTTTCACTTAAGGAACCCCATATAATTTGCAAAAGGCCCTCTTCTGTTTCTCTTCCCACCCCACCTCCAAATGGCCTGAAAGCAGCTGATCATCATCCCAAGCATTTTCACTGTCAGAATAATTGTATGCCGACCCTTTGTATCTCTTTACTGCAATTCCACACAAGCTGGTTAGTAGCTAATTAGGCAATGTGCAGTTTCTAGGAAAATCTGCTTGGCAGCTCAAACAGCCACAAGAATGAGAAGGTGAAAGAAAAACGTTTCCAAAAAAATATTCTCCAACAGAAGACTTTGCAAGTTCCAAGATCCTTACTAAATATTAGTTTAGACTCTGCAAGATTTCAAGGGTGGCTCCCAGTTCCATCTGACTGAGCATAATGACTTCGTACGATTGCAGGCTGAGCCAAGAAATGTTGCTCAGTCAAAGAGCATGACATTCATGGCACTCCAAGAGGAGTATTATTCTTACTCCTCCTCATTAGTAGTAATACACTGAAATTTATTATTACTTCCACTATTACTACTGCTATTGTTGATGATGATGATGATGATGATGATGATGATGATGACATACTGACCTTCCATGGCACCCCAAATCATTGGCCAAGGATGGCCAATGGCAGGGCTGGCTCATTTTTCCCAGTGGCAGGGCTGGCCCGTTGAAGTTTTAATGCAGAAGTTGGTGAGTTTTCTCTTTCAGTTCCTGCACTTATTATTACAATTACTTTATTTACTTTTTTTCAGTCTCCAGGATTACCAAGGGTGAGCCCAACAATATCACCAGCATTGATAAAAATGGTGTTTGGGGCCTGTTTTTAATTTTTTTAGGAATTTGGGGCTTCATTAGAAATTAATTGCTTTAAAGCCAAACAGAGCTTTGTCTACCTATTGTGATGCGTCTTTTGTGGTTATTCTTGTTAATTTAAAGAAAGGAAAGAATTGCAACACCCAAATCAGGGTGTCTGCAGGAAGGGGGGTCAAAAGGTCAAAATAGCACTCACAACCATGGAATCAATGCCCCATATCATTTTTACATGTGTTGCACAATGGTTGTGGCTGCCATCTTCACTTTTTTTGACCCCCTCTTTGCGGACCCCCCAACCCGAGTCTCTATTTTGCACCAAATGTAGCAAAGCAACCTGGGAAGCCCTGAGAGCCACAAAAAGGGGACCAAGAGGCCAGAAGCATCCATGGCAGGGAGGTCAAATGACGAAGCAGTGTTGTACTGATGTAATGCAAGCTGTACCATTTGTTGTACAGGAATCGTAACATGTTCAGACCAGATCACTGGTGGCTCAGTTCTGCTTGAACGCATGACCTGCTTTGGACCATGACTGTATCTGAGCCCTTCTTTGATGCTGTAATTGCACCCCTTTCCACCATCCAAAGCACTGTCTACAGGAAGAGCCATAAGTGCTTTCCGGCTTTGTGATTGACTGTTTTGGTTGTCTGCTGTCCTGGGCAATTCCTCATAGGTCAGCAGTGCAGCATCAAAAGCAGTCATTGGTCTCAAAGGAGGCCAAGAAGCTGTCAGATCCTGGTTGTTGGTTTTGTTTTCCAAGAGGGTGAAAAAGAATCAGGACTGGGAATGAAAAGTAGAAAGGAAACAGTGATGGAATGTTTAGAGTCCCTGTTATCCTACTCTGGAAGTTGTCTGTCTTTCAGCCTCTGGTAAGCATGGTTGATGCAGGTTTAATCAGTGCCAACTAACCCTGGGGACATTTTAAGCTATAATTAAGCCCTCTGACATACTAACCTACTTCATGACCTAGTGAATTGTTTGAACAGGGCAATCTAGGTGTAACCCAAGCCAGTCTTCCCCCAAACCTGGTATTCTTGAGTAGAGTTGAGATGGAAATTCCCAGAATTTCCAACCTACTTTCTTGCTGAGAATTCTGAGAGTTGTAGTATAAACATATCTGGAAAGCATCAGGATAGAGCAGCCCACTTTAGGCCTTAAACAGAACTAAAATATGGGGCAAAAGTAGCCAATATCTAGTTGCTGGTTATAGCCTCTTATACCTATGCTTGCAACAGTCAAGAATGAACAATGGAGAAGATCCAAATTTTCAAGTAACATAAAATCCAATTAGAAGCACCTAATGATAGGAAGTAGTACTGCTGCACAAATTTATTCCAATTTAGGATCATCTGTAGGGGGTGTTTCATTAATTCTCCTCTGAAACAGGACAACTATGGGAAAAGTTCTAAAGGCAAGGACATTCTCAATCGAAGCATTTTTCTTTCCTCCTAAGGGGGAAAATTGAAACATGGCGAAAGAGAAAATGATGAATGCATTTCATGTTTTATTGTATTGTTAGAAAAAAGGGCCACACATAATGGATCCTTTTCCAGATTGGAGAACTAAAAGCGTTACTTTTGGATAATGTTCTGATTCTACAAATAATAAATTACCTTTCAGTATCATCTCAAAGGTGCTAAAATGGCAAGCCGTGGCTGCAAATACAGGCAGCAACTGGATTTTCACAACTGTGCTAAAAGTATTCAGGAAAAAAAATGCTACAAATCTAGGGACATGTGTGTCCCAGTTCAAATACGCCTAGATAGGAGTTCACATACAGCCCCAGGCAGTAATTAGGCCAACCTTACTGCTAGGCAAAGTAGGGCAACTGCTTCAAACAGGAAGACCAGTGATGCTGGTCTTCATGAATTCTGGACTGCTGTAATGTGTTCTTCATGGAGCTGACTCTGAGTACCAGAATGTAGTGGCTCAGCTACTGGTTGGTACTCACTGCCCTAAGCATGCTACATTACTGTTCCAGGCCCTGCACTGGCCTCCAATTTGTTTCCAGGTATAAGTCAAAGTGGAGTCCTTAGGATTCTCTGAGCTTGGTTGTTTTCTTGCAGACGTTTCGTTACCCAGCTAGGTAACAACTTCAGTGCTGTAAGTCAAAGTGCAGGTTGAACCTAGAAAGCCCTTCCTCAATGACCTTTTGCTAAGGTACCTTCAGGACTGTCTTCTCCAGCTGGAATTGACTTGTCTGACATACACGTCCCAGGAGAAAGTGCTTATTGTCCTCCACAGTGTGAAAAGGGCTGAGGTATGCCGCTATTGCTTTTCAGTAGCTGTGTCCTCACTATGGAACAGCTACCTGGTTGATATTGGTCTAGCCCACATCGGTGGCCTTCCAAATATTCTTGAAGACTGGATTGTTTCAGAGGACCTACAGTAACTGAGATGACGCTGAGGTATGATCGATGGTTTTTTGCAGTTTTGTATTTTTGATCTTATAGTGATGGATTATGGGGTGATTTCTTTATTGTGGGTGTGTTATTCTACTGCTGTGTTTTGCTGTAAGCCACCAGAGAATTATGTGTTTATGATAAGGACAAACTAAATCATTCATTCATTCATTCATTCATTCATTCATTCATTCATTCATTCATTCATTCATTCAATCAAAGATATCATTTTGTCAGGATGGCTTCAGAAAACAAAGTTCCTGAAATAAAATCATAGAGAAATTATCCAGAAAAGCTGAGTATTCAAAAAGGTCCAGTTTTTTTACAAGGATAAATAACAGTATCTAAAAAGTTACGATCTGAGAAATTTAATGGTAAACCACTTTGATCTTTCTTTAATGGGAAGTGATGCAGAAATGTTTTCAATATATGAATAAATACTTTTAAAAATCAAAAGGTCATTTGAAAATGACTTATGTATGAGAACAGCTAAATATATATTAGTCTGGTATGAATGCTCCAAATAATTAGTGCAAGCTTGTGAAAAGTGCCAATTTTTAGAACTATGGATTATAAAGAACCTACAGAAAACCATTACCTATAAGACTTTCACAGAATTGGCAGGATTCCAGTAGAGTATCTCTTGGGGGTGGATTTCTCTTCAAATTTGCATAGTTTATTTCTTGGAAAACCCAATAAAATCCTTATTGTACCTTGTAAATCTACTTTTGCTAGGTATGAAATCACTGAAAAAGTTATTACTAATATCCAACCATGTTTTATTTGGGAGAATTTAGATCATTTGCTGCTGCTGAGAACTTCATACATACTACTCTGAGTCCACGTTATGCTCAGTGAAGTAGGATGGCAGGAAGAACATTACATAAATCTAATGAAATAGTTAAGGGAGTCTAAATTGGGTGAATCCAATTTACACCTTTATCTTTTGACTTATGGAAATG